ATAGAGCATCGGTCTGCGGACTGAAGGGTCCCGGGTTCGATTCCGGTCAAGGGCATGTACGTTGGTTGTGGGCACATCCCTGGCAGGGGGTGTGCAGGAGGCAACTGGTCAATGTTTCTCTCTCATTGATGTTTCTAGCTCTCTATCCCTCTTCCTTCTTCTCTGTGGAAACTCAATAAAATATATTAAAATAAACTAATTAATTAAACAAAGATTTTTTTTCTAGTGAGATCTGGCTAAAATTATATTTTATTTGCAAAACCTAAAATCCCTAAAGACAGGTAAAAATAAACAGCATTGAAAAAAACAATCAAGATAGAATGCCCCTTGCTTTAGCTGAGATTCTTAGATAAATGAGATGAGGAATGAATAATTTTTTAAGAATTAAAAAAATGAAAACATCACATATACAAGAAATATTAGAAAATGCTCGTGCTTCATGTTATCCATTGGAAAGGCACACCGATGAGCTGAGACAAAAGAGAAAACAAAGGCAAAGCAAGGATGAAGTCTAAGGTTTCCACACAGAACATGGACCATATAGGAAATGACAAGCAACTCTGTGTGGCCATAGGATAGAAGGCTGCTGTGACTGAAGAGAACAGTGGGGGACAAACGCCAGGCCCTGAGAACCATGTTCAGGAATGTGGATGATATGTTGAGAGCAGCAGGTAGTGTGTGACATGTTTCAATCAAGGGAGTAGGAGGGGATGATTTGTGTTTTTCACAAATTTTGTCTGCACTGAGGATGATTAATGGATTTAAAGAGTAGCAGCAGGAAGAGTTAGAGGCCAATATAACAGATTTGGTGACAGAAGATGGACTGAACCAAGGAAATGCAGAAGAATGGACAAATAAGAGGGGTATTTAGAAAGTGAAATGGCCAAGACTTGGTAACTCAATGGGCAGAAAGAGTGAGAGGAGAGGCAGAGACAGCCAAACCAGAGACAATGGCCACAAGCATGTGCCAGTTAGTGGATGGAGCCAGGAATGGAGGAATGAAAGCTGGTTTTCTGGGAAAGATGTTTAAGGTGACAGTGGGACATTAAAGTGAAGATGACTGATAGATGGAGACATGTGGTCATCAACCTGAACATAACTAAAGACTAATAGAGTGAGAATTGGATCTAGGGCTCTCCAATATGTATGGGACAGGAAGAGGAAGGAGAAATGAAAAAAAATCAGGGAGAGACAGTCATAGGAGCAATAGAGGACAGCATCATGGACACTAAGTGATGAGGCAGTGTCAAAAGTTGCTAAGGAGTCAATGAGACAGGGTCTTAATACAAGGTAATTTCTGGCAACCGTGGCAAAAAACAGAGGCAGTGGAGTAAAGTGGGAGAAATTCTAAATCCTATGCCAGCAAAATTACAAATGCCTATATAGTCTACAGTTAGAATAACTTGTGAAAAGTAAACCATAAAATGAACTATAAACATGAGATAAAAGATGAAAGAGAAAAGAAGACTTTACTTCTTTACAAACCATTATCAACCCTCCACCCCCTGAATAAAAGAAAACCTGAAATTCCTAAAACATTAACCAAAAAGAGTCTTCATTCCAAAGTTTGGGTGCTGGTTTTGGCATAAGTACCTCTAAAATGCCAAGCCCATGAGCTGCAACAGAGCTGGACCAGGGTCCTTGAAAGCCTTCCTCAGTACCCAGAAGTCACCCCTTCTAATCAGGCAGGAAGGACTTGAACACAAGGCCACAGGGGAAGCTGCCATCAGCACATTAAAATGGCAACATGAGGGGAATTAATTACCCTGGCCTGGCCTAGCACCATGCCGAATCCATATTAATCCTCTTCCACCAAGAACCTTCACTTCAGATCCCCTCACCTACATCACTAATTCAGGTTGGCATTTTGCTTTCTGGGACGTGAGGCCCAGCCAAACCAATCTGACAGGCATAAGAAGGAAACCTAAGAACTAAAGAAAGAAAAATACATCAGCCATGAAAACCACATACTGCTGTCCCAAAAAAGGCCCCTTGCTCTCTTCTTAGACACAAGGCAATGCTCCAAACAGGAGGGGGGGAATCTCTGCTGGTGCCAAACAAACATTAAGGAAATCAGACTGTTGCAGATTATTACAATGGACTGTGAAATTCATTCCAAGTCATTCATATTATAGAAAAGAGAAGCAACTTGCCCCAAGGTCACACAGAGTTTGGCTAGGCCTGGGCAAGCACCTGTCTGATTTTTTTCTGCACTATACCATAAGTCCTCCTAATGGCCGATTGCTGCCAAATTCTTATGTCCAGCCTCGCTCTCCCCAAAGCTTTGGCCTCATAAATCCTACCATCTGACACCTGCTCTTGGCTATCTCAAAAGCTCAAATTCCCAGCATCCAACACGGAATGCATGATCTTTCCCTATTACTCCCAACACCAGTTTTTCATCCAAGGCCTCTTAGTTTAACAGATGACATCACCATCCATCCGGTTCCTGAGCCAGAGACTAAGGAAGCATGTCCAGTGTTTGACCTCCAGCCCACCACTTCCTGGCTACAGCCTTGAGTAAAATTAAATAAGGTCTTTTAAACCTCAGGTTTTAGCAGCTGAAAAATGGAATAATAACAGGAATTACCTCATAAAATAGCTGTGATCAGTGAAAGAGATGATGTGTATAAAATGCAAAGCATAAAAAATGTCTGTGTGCCAAACAAACATTACTCTATCTTATTGCCTTCTTCCTCCAATCCTACCCAGCCACCTGCTTAAAACTTAAGAATCATTCTCATTTCAACTCATACGTTACTCCCTTGCTGGAAGCCTTCCTTGATCACTCCCTGCCTGCCAAGGTTAGGTCATAACTGCCCTCCCACCCCTGGTCCCTTTTCACCTTCAAAGCACAGTGTAATTTCCATTCAAATCACATTCTGATTGTTTGATTAATGGCCATCTCCTCCAATAGCCTATAAGCTTCATGAAGGCAGAAAGTGGGAGTGCTATGCCTCATTTTTGTATTCTCGACACAGTACTTAGCACATAATAGGTGTTTAGTAAACATTAGTTGAGTGAAATGCCCAGGATGCATTTTTATCAGCAGAAAAATGGACGTAAAGATTCGAAGAGAAGTCAGAGAACACCAATTCAAGCTAGAGCTCATGGCCATCCCATCCAGGGAGCCAGGTAGAAGGCCTGGTGAGCCCCAGCTGACCAGCTAAGTTCATGACTTACTGCCTGTTTGACCAACACTCTTAACTGTTAAGAATTCGGTCTCCAGGGTGCTAGAATATACTCTGCATAAATATGCACAGCCACACCCTGGGAATTTTTTAGATGAACCCTAGTCCCTCCTAGACCTTTCGTAATGTAACCATCACTCGACCGTGGGTGTAATTCTAGTGTTTAAAGACACATATTTTTATGGCACAGGACTTCTACACTCAGCCAACTACTACATTTGGAGCTTATCTGAAGAAACAGCTGACTGTTCTAACTCCAGGGTAAAATTGAGCTCTATGGCATCCAGGAGGGAATAGCATCTTGGCTCTCCAATGTGGTACCAATAAGATATTTTCAGGAATATTTTTTCACTACACCCAGTGTTTATTTATGCAGAAACTTTAGAACCTAACCTCCTTCTAACATGGGACTCTAACGGGTAGCAAAGAATTTGGAAGTGCAGGCTTTGACATTGGGCAGGCCTGGGTTCAAATTCTTGTTCTGCTACTTAGGAATTATGGCTATAACCTTAGACCCATTACTTAAACTCTCTCATTCAGCTAACTCATCTATACTAATAGATATAACAGCACCTAGATATTATATTGGCAAGGAAAACTAAATATAAGTACTCTGCTTATGGCTAAATAATTGTATGTAAGAATGTTCTTTGTATGGGATGGAGGGGGGCTAGGGAAGTTCAATGGAGAAAAAGGGGGACATATGTAATACTTTCAACAATAAAGATTTTTTTTAAAGGAAGTTCTTTGTACACAGAGTACTATCACCTTAGAAGATAACGTTCTGTACCATGCCTAACAGTGCCCATTGAGTGAACACCACGATCTTTCTTAGCTTTGTCTATTTTGGTCCAGACACCAGCCCACTTCCTTCTGGGAGTATGTTTTGAGTAGAACTGCCTGCACATAAATGATCCTCTTCCTAACTTTGACAGTTGAAATGTTATACAAATCACCCTACTTCCTCTTGTCTTTAGGGTCAAACAGTGAACCAAGTTTTTTCATAACTTCTCTCATGCAGACACACACCCTTTGTTGAGAATATGACTTTCCCAGGACAGGGCTCAGAGATACTACACAAGAAAACAGTGGTAAACACAGAAAAAAAAGAGCTCTTTATCCAAGGGAAAACACTGGAAAAAGGAAAGCTGAAATGTTCTAAGCAATGGTGTAGCCAGGAAAAACTGAAATATCACTTGTGCTTCTACCATAATATTTCTTTTGTGTCTATTACATATGAGAGTAGTTGCTGCCACTTGTAAAATAATTGCTCTCCAAACAGCACTGAACTAGGCACTGAGGGAGAATACAGAAGGACTACCTCTGCCTTCCAAAAGCTTGCAATGTAATTAGAGGCACAAAACAAATGGGCAACAGCTAACTATGCACTGGATGAATGATAATAAAGAACAAATAAGGCAGAAAATCAACAGGCTGTTCTGGGAAAAGTAAAGCTCTCCTGAAGAAGGTGCCTAATGATTAAGTAGATGGTGGTGGAATGGCATTTGAGACATACCAATGGCCAGGAACCAGCCTGGATTAGTCTAGAGACAGCCAGGACATATATAGCAAAAAAGATTTAGGAAAATATACAAGCAACAGAACAAGAAGTACAATCTTTGCATGAGGGGGCAGTTTTATATCTTCCTTGCAAAAAAAGAAAGAAAGAAAAAGAAAAGAAAAGAAAAGAAAAGAAAAGAAAAGAAAAGAAAAGAAAAGAAAAGAAAAGAAAAGAAAAGAAAAAGAGGGCCCATCAAAAAACCATGTCCCCAAAGTCTCCCATTGGCATAATCCCACAACATCTCTTACCCGGATGAGGGAAGCCTGATGCCGAGGTGGCTTGGGTCCTTGATTCCCCGATGAGGGTCCCTCAGGCTGGACAAGGGACTGTCTAGCTTCATAAGGAGCTGAAACCGGAGTGAAAGTCAGCATGGTACACAAAGATTCCACCCAAGAATTATGACTTTACACTCCAACCGATACAGTGTCTGCTTTTAAGGGCAGAATTATCAAAGGAATTAGAGATTATATGAATAGGGCCATCTAGGACAAACAAACCTGGGTGCCTCTGGGTACAATTTAACTGAACAATCTAAAGATATCCAACCAAATTATGATAAGGCAGGGAAATATTTACATCAAGTTAAGATTAGGAATAAATTATAAGGGTGAAATCTTGAGAACCTAAATTGGGATAGAAAACAATGAGAGTCATTAGAAAAGTGCCATTTTATAAATGTTCAAATTCTTGAGATAGGTAAATTCTATATATACCTTCCTATTTAAAAGTCTTCCATTCATTCCCCTATCCCTACCCCCCACCCTTGCAAAGAAATAAATATATATGCATTTTAATACTAAGGCTCAATATTATCGTTTATTTTGTTTGTTTTTGAGAAATAAATAGCACTGTCTTCTTTTCCTTTCTGGAAAGAATGTGAAACCAAGTTGAGGAAAATAAAAATAAAAAAAAGAATAAATGTATTTTGTTTTATTTTTTATTTCTTTTTTTTACTAAGAATAAAAGTATTTTATACTTATTATTTTATCATTTGATAACCAAACTAAAACTAATTTTGTTACTTTAAAAAAAAAAAAGGTTTTTTAAGCCACAAAAATGAACACTTTTTTTCATTCCTTTTATTTCCAGAACACTTAATGACCTTGACAATAGGGCAGAAAAACAGTTAAACATAACCATGTAGTATGCAGCTCCAACAGAAAAGAGAAATTATCATCCAAGATGAAACCATTTCTGATGTTTGGGTTAACAATTCGAGCTTTTGGAAGTATGTAAAGAAGTAAAATGCTTTCTTTCTGTAGTTTACTTATAAGTAAAATTAGGCACAGAGAGCAGAGCAGCCTGTTAGTGCAGCACCTTTAGCACAGTGTGATCTTTTTAAAACAAAGAAGGTATAATGACAGCACATCAAGAATAACAAACAACTCCTCGGCTCACATCTGCTTATTGTATTTCATCCAAGAAACTGGAACACAAGATTATAACACATTAACATATCAAAATCATGGCCTAACAAATCATTTAGTGTATTTTCAGACTCTGCTAAGAATTATTAAAAATATAAAAATTGAAAGAAAAACATAAACAGGAAGCACATAATCCAGATCTTAAAAATAAATCTCAGCTGGTAGGCGGGTGTTGAGAAAGCTTTTTAAGACCATTTCACTTTGATGGAACACCAAATTAAACTCTTAATGCCAGAAGGTTTGGACAACAGTAAACTGTATCATAGTTGGAACACGAATGGTCATAAGCTTTCCATAGGAAGCTGATCCTACATGATTCTGGTTCCCTTCAGAAAGAGGAAGTCTCTACTGCCTAGGAGGGAACCGTGTGGGGGAGGACATCTGGCCCATGGCTCCAGTCCCTCACCTACAAGGACCTTCTTCCCTTGGAAGAGACAGACCTAGTTCATCAATAGGCCGAATGAAGACTCAGCCACACGGAGGATCATTTTTTGGAGAGGCCAGGTCTGGAGGACAGATTTTCTCTTCCTACTACTGTGGAAAGCCTGGATTAGCCACACCTGCCTGTGACTAGAAAGGTGTCTGAAGCCCATGCAGTCACAAGTCTAAGAGTCATGCTCTGATCCGCTCTATCAGCACCACAGCTGATACTCAGGTCATCATTGGCCTGACTGCTGTCTCACTCCACAACTGGATCTGAACTCTACTCTCCTTCCTCCCAAATAAAACACCAGACATGCAACTCAATGCAAAAAAATATTAATTCTTATATCCCCTTAGAAGAGGTTTAATGAGGAACTAGAAGTACCATTTTTCTCCAAGAATAGGGATATAAAACAAATGCTGAAGATTTCATCAATCGGAGATTCGATGTCAAACTAGAACAGTACATGTCAAACTAGAAGTGACATGAGTAACTTCACAATAAAGATTCTACATCTGCAGTCAACCAGTGAATGGTGACCAGGTGACTTTCAAGAATACTTAAGAATTTCACAAGTAAAACCAATACCAGATTCTAAAAAACACAAAAGAAAATACTAGGGAACATTTGAGCACCTACAATATGCCAGAAACTGGTAGGCTCAGATGTTGACATTTCTCATTTGATCCACAAAGCAAACCTCTGAGGAGAGATTATGCTATTTCACCTATAAAGGAAACTGAAGCCCAGAAAAGTGAAATACCCTTAGTCACACAGGCTGGAAATGGACAGAAATGAGAAATGTAGGCCCACCAAGTCTACTTTTAGGGCCAGGAAACGAACATCGCAGCCCATGCTGCCATGTGAGTAGATACCTAGAATGAATACATCAGAATAATATGCATAAGAAAAAGCAGAACATACAGATTGATTCTGAGATAACACATTAAACATCAGATGAAACAAGTGAAAGAGTTGATAGTAGTTGCCTCTGGAGATCAGAAACAAGTTCAGTGGGAAGAATAGTTGTATTTACTATAGGCATGTAAATATTATTTAACTATATACATGTATCACTATTATTTAAACATATTTTTACAATGTGGATAGCATTATGGGCCTCTGAGGGTTGTGGTATGAAGAATATAATGCACATAAAGACCTCAGCATGATGCCTGGCACATAAGTCTTATGCAATGAACATTAGCTACAGCTATATCCAGCAAATGAAACTAACAGGAGCCCAGAAGAGAAGTTGAAGAGAGGCTCTGAATTCCAGACTGGTCTGATGATGCTCCGTCTGATTTAAGGCATACTCAATACATGTCCCACCAGCCAGGAATCATGGCAGAATACTGAACAGGGAAATGACCCCAGAAAATATATTACAAGAAAATTATGCCAGTAGAAAAACTCCTTTCTGAAAAGGTGGAAACTAAAAATAACTCTGGATTGCTTAGTACCAGAGGCGCTAAGGTTTAACAAGTTTTAGATATGCTACTGTCTAGCCCAGTGGTCACCAACCAGTGGTATGCGGACCACTGGTGGTCTGTGAGATCTGAAAGGTTGGCGACCGCTGGTCTAGACCAAAGGCAAGATGGAGTACAAAAATAGGAAAGAGAATCCCGAGCCCATCAAATGGGTTAGAGAAATTGAGTTCTGAAAATGTGGAGAGAGAGAGAAGGAAGGCATGTGAACTTCTATTACTTCTTGACCTAAAGGTATGTGACAAAAGATGAAGCAAATAGGTAAAGAAAATCCTTTCAGAGAAAATCCACCAACATTATAAAAACAGGAATTAACAAGCTTTGACGTGAATAGTATCAATTAGAAGCAAAAATCACAAGATGGACCCAAGTTGCAGATAGAAACATTCTCCCTTCCTTTGACTTACATAGATGGGGAAGTCTAAATAGAAATGCCTGTAAACATTGTATTTATTAATGACCTTGTTCCTAGTTACAGGCACCAAACAGCCTCCCAATGGATGGCTAGATCCAGGAAACTCAACTCCTTGAGACACAGGAGACTGTTCACTCAGATTCCTCTCTATGGATAAGCTGTACAAAGAAGAACCCTCTAGAAGAGCAGCTCATCAGTCTAAGGATCACAATGCAGGAGAAAAACCAGGAAGGGATAACAGAAACTTGGAAAACAATGTTTCAAGAATAAAGGAATGACCACAAACTGATGTACTTCACATCTAACAGAATGGCTAAAATTAAAAACACTGAAAAAAAAGAAACCACTGAGAATACCAAATGCTTTCAAGGAGCATGAACTCTCTCATACATTGGCAGTGGGATGTATAGAGCCACTTTGGAAAACTCTTTTGGTACTTTCTTATTCATCTACTCTAAGTCTAGCAATTCCACTCCTAGGTGCCAGGGAAATTACAACATATGTCACACTCATATTCATAACAACCAAACACTGGAAACAACCCAAATGTCCATCAACAGGACAGCTCATCAAACTGTGATCCATTCATGTGATGGAACACTACTGAGTAATAAATAGGAACAAACTACTGATATACATAATATGGATGAATCTCAACCTCTATGCTGAGGGAAAGATGGCGTACAAGTAAGAGTACAGTCGTTCAATATGGTTATATTTATATGAAGTTCTAGAAAAGACAAAACTAATCTATAGTGATAAAAATCAGAACAGTGCTTCACTAGGGAGCAGAGGGTGACTGGAAAGGGGCATCTCTGAGGTGATGGGAATGTTCTATTCTTGATCAAAATGGTGGTTACGTGAGTACATCCATTTGTTAAAACTAAACTGAGTATTTTAAATGTGTGCATTTTATCACATGCAATTTTTACCTGACTTTTTTTAAAAAGCATAAAGAATGAACAACCTTGACAGATGCCACTAAGAGTCAAAAAATATGGAGAGAACCAGGTTATCTCCTTGCCACTGGGGGAACGGAAGCCAAATTTGAATGGGATGAGGAGAGAATGGCCATGAAATAAAGCTAGTACAGAAAAGGTTTTTAAGGAATATTAAAAAAAAAAAAAAAGACAGGTTGGAACATGGTGATACACTGAACAAAAATGACTCACCTGTGAATTAAAAATAAAAATTAAGTACCATGCTAGGCACAGGACTCCAATTCCAAGCCCAAATAAGATTAGGAATTTTTAAAAACCCACTTCTAAAAACAGGGAAATCAGCCCTAACCAGTTTGGCTCAGTGGATAGAGCATCAGCCTGCAGACTCAAGTGTCCCGGGTTCGATTCAGATCAAGGGCATGCACCTTGGTTACAGGCACATACCCAGTAGGGAGTGTGCAGGAGGCAGCTGATCAATGTTTCTCTCTCATTGATGTTTCTAATTCTCTATCCCCCTCCCTTCCTCTCTATAAAAAAATCAATAAAATATATTTTGAAAAATAAATAAGAACAGGGAAATCAGGCAGGAGGGGGACTGAACTGCAAAAGGAAAATGAATTCTCAACCCCATTCTGTTTCAGACATCAGTAGGACAATCAAGTTCCAGGACAATTATTTCTTGTTACAATATCTTGCATTTGCAAAGGACTTAATTTCTAATCAGATTTTATACTCACATTCTCACTAAACCTTACAACACCCCTACAAGATGCTCCACTTTAAAAGAGAAGAAACCATGCTTCAGAACAGTTAAATGGCTTGCCCAAGGTCACATAGCTAGTCACATAAACCCACACCTTCTGATTCCAATCAAAAGATTTTTCCATTATGCTATACCTGCTTCTTCCTGCAAGATTACAGCCTCTCTCTGGTCCAGGCTAGCACACATTTTATATCTGTGTCCCTCTAGAAGTCACTACTATTTTCAATGCAACAAAAGCCTGCAGAAACTGGGTCATTTCCAGCCATAGTCCACAAAATAAAAAGGGGGATTATGGGTATCCAATTCTAGAATACCTTTAATTGGTCATATCTTAAACTAGGAGTCTGAGCCCCAGGAGGACAAGCTACTGCAGTGAATTTATGGAGTTTTAGCACTGTGCCTAGGCAGCCAACTCTGCGTGTCATCCTTAGAACCAACTAACGGATTTTACCAATAGCATGCCATCACAGCCTGAATGTGAGCAAGCAGGCGAATCCACAACGGACACTCTATACACTTCTCAGCAAAATGCTTTCCCTGTCATTTCCTGTATTCCTATTCCCAAACACAAGAGCAAAATAATTCCATTTATGCAATCAGTCTTTAACGGTTGAATCAACTCTTTTGCATTTGCAGTTACATTTTTAAGTCATTCCATAAAAGCAGTTCTTACATAAATATGTTTGGTATGTTTGCAGGAAAGAATAACATTTCCAAAACAACACAAGCCCTTAATATGCCACTTTCCTGTGTGATGAAATCTGTATATGAGAGATTAAATCATCGAAATCGTTGTTTACAAATCTAAAGTTTGTAGGAGACCAGGCATTACTAAGATATATTTCGTTTTATTTTTTTAAAACCTTGCTTGAGAGAAAAAAAATTAAATTGAGCCATGTTTCCAAAGACAGAGGTAATTAAGTCCGGAGATTCAGCAGCTGGAAGCAATGCTGCCTGATAGATTAAGGAGTCTCTAAGACCCCGCCCGGGACAGCTGGCTTGCAGATCGCCTCTTACCTGGATGCATCTGCTCCGTGCTGCTCCGCAGTTTGCTGTAGCCATGGCTCAAGGGCACCCTCTGGTAATGAGGCGGAGAAGAAGGAGGGGAGGCGAGGGGTGACATTGTAGGAGACTGTGTTTCCTGCTTCAAAAAATCAGAGCAGAGTTCAGAAGCAATCACTGGAGAAGCCTGGCACTCTGAGCTGCAGTTATGAAGTATAACACAGCTCTGCTGCTGGTGAGCCAGTTGGTTTAACAAATGGAGGAAATGTTTTCTCAAAAATTCAGCTGGATTAAAAATCAGTGTCTGAGGATTCGAAAGTCTCCCAGAGAATCAAGTCTCACCAGTACTCAGGTACCTAAATTAGTAAAACAAGCCTGGAACACTTTGTTATTCCAATAATATTTTCCTTTGGAAAATAAAAGACACTGATCATCACAAGAAGTAACATTCATAACCCCCAATTTTGATCTCTTTGTGAATAGATTCAATTTTCATTCATTAATAAAGGCCCTTTCTTTCTGGATTTACACTCAAGTCTTCCAGCAAATGTGGCTATTAAAAATATTTTAAATGCTTAATACTAAATATTCTTAGAGTTTACTATGCCAAGAAAAATGGCAAGTGGTTTTTTTTTATATCAAGAGTCTGCAAAATAGTTAATTATGAGTGAACCACTCTAACTAGCCCACTCGTAAACACTAGGATGGAGCCATAAACAAGTAACAGTTAGAATCTCAATTCAAATGTGAACCTGATGTTGGATCCTAGGCAAGAAAACAACCTTACTCTGCTACTGGGTTTCCTCCTCTATATTTTAATGCTACCAACAGCGTGGTAATTTCAGAGTGCCCAAGTATCAAAGAAACACTACTTTTTATCAACACAGGCACTATATAATTGCTATTATTCTAAAAAATGCAATGTGAGGTAATGATTAAGACTTTTCTTCAAGAGAAATGAAAGAATATTTGCTTTGAACTGTAAGCTCACCCTCACATATTGGGTGGGCCTAGCATAAACCCAGCCAAAAGGATGTGTCCTTACTCACACAGCCAGGAGATGGGTCTAGAAAGTTTCCAGGGCACCAACCATCCTAGGATAGTCAACCCTCATTCCTCTCCAAATGCTGATAGGAAAGCATGCCAAATAGTGGTAACTGAAGATTCCTATGCTCCTTTATAGATATATATATACTTGAAGAACATGCTACACCTCACTTAAATATAAAATTACCAGTGTCCTGGTGCACAGATTTATGTGCATTGAAAGGAAATTAATTAGAAGAAATATTTTAATGTTGCTATTCACCCTTTCTCTATAATAGAGTGTCAACCAAATTCACAATCAACAATGATAGATTGAAACATAATGCATGCAACTGGCGCCAGTGAGAGTTTTATATGTATCGTGCATGTGCGAGTCAACTTAGCCATATATATATATACTAGAGGCCCGGTGCACGAAATTCATGCATGGAGGGGGGTTCCTCAACTCAGCCTGCACCCTCTCCAATCTGGGACCCCTCGGGGGATGTCTGACTGCCTAAAACAGCAGTCAGACATCCCTCTTGCAATCCAAGATGACTTGGCTCCTAACCACTGGCCTGCCTGCCTGTCTGATCACTCCTAACCCCTCTGCCTACTGGCCTGATCAACATTACCTTGCCCTCCTGCCAGCCCGATTGCCCCTACCTTGCCCCCCTGCCAGTCTGATTGCCCCTACCTTGCCCCCTGCCTGCCTGATCGCTCCTAACCTCTCTGCCTACCTGCCTGATCACCCCTAATTGCCCTCCCCTGCCAGCCTGATCTCACCCCTAACTGTTCTCCCCTGCTGGCCTAATGGCCCCTAACTGCCTTGGCCTGCCTGATCCCCCCTAACTGCCCTCCCCTGCTGGCCTTACTTTGCCCCAGCTGCCCTCCTCTGCCAGCCTGATCTCACCCCCAACTGCCCTCCCCTGCCAGCCTGATAAACCCGTAACTGCCTCTGCCTTGGCGGCCATCACCATGGCTTTGTCCGGAAGGAAACTGGATGTCTGGAAGATGGCTAGTAGACCTGGTCTAATTAGCATATTACCCTTTTATTAATATAGACTAGAGGCTCCGTGCACAAAATTCGTGCACAGGTAGAGTCTGGCCCTACCCTAGGTCTGGCCGGTGATCAGGGCTGATCTCTGGGGTGATCAGCAGGGCAATCAGGGGCTCACCAGCCCCGCCCACTGCCGCTACCTCCTCTTCACTGTCCAATCCCACCCCCCACCACTGGTTACCTCCCTCTATGGGGTAATCAGAGGCCCCGCTGGCACCCACCTTGGCTTGCCTGGGGCCTGCAAGCTTGGGATAGCTCCTGTGTTGAGTATCTGCCTCCTGGTGGTCAATGTGCATCATAGCGACTGTTCATTCCACCAGAGGTTCCACTGTTCAGTTGATTTGCATATTAGGCTTTTATTGTATAGGTTGGTCTAATTTTAAAAGCCTATTCTCCATATTCTTGTTCCTAACTTGCTAATGTGCAATGACAGTAGTTCTCAAGGTGCTTTCCAAGCATGCACCCCAAAAAAAGATGCCCTGGTGAAAGAAGTTTAGTAAAATACATTTCTCCATGTCCCTTTATTGCAGGACTTCTCAGGGCATTTAACGTGCTAATGTGCACTATGAATCTCCAAGACTGAGAATTTAGTCTTCCCCCAGAATAGTGAAGCAGCATTATCCAAACATATCTAGCCAGAGAAACCTTTCCTCCAGACTTTCTTGGAAAACTCCTAAAAGATACATTTCAAAAAAACTCATTTGGAAGTACATTAATCAAATGAGTGTGCTAAATTGGTGGCCTTACTTTGGATACAACTCTACATTGATGTAGGCTCTAAAGGGCCCATGGTGGCTCATGATAATTCCTATGCATTTGGCCTCCATTTCTTGCTCCAAGGAAATTTCACTGGCTCACTTCCAAGTCTGTAATTGTAACCCAGATGGTGCGATTTGCTAGAAGCTTGACAGCAGATAAGAGGCACTGCTACGTGAGGTTTCATGGTCAAATGGACATGCCTGATCAGATTGTTTACCTGTTTATCCTCATCATCCATTCTTTTGAAGGTATTTTTTTCTGAGAGTAAATATGGAATTGGAGCCTTAGTTCCATGCAGCTCAGCTGAGTTCCCAAATCGTATGTCACTGTCGGTCTTTGACATCATAAATCGAGGCAGCGGCAATTCTTTAGGAGCAAAATCAGAAAAGCTGAAGTGAGACTTTATTTTAGAACTGAGGAAAGGGGAACTAATTGTCCAAAAGATGAATCACTTGTGAAGAAAATTTCCAGAGCACTAAATATAGATTAAATTTTTATTTCAACACAATAAGGACTCTTATAATAATGTCAAGACAGAAAAATGCTACCAGTTTTACCAAAGTATTCTGGCTAAACATTTTTAAATGCCATTAAGTCTTTGTGGACCTAATTCAGGGTTTAGACTCATCTCCCACTTCATCCTTTATTTCAGCACCAAGAAAAAAAAATGTGATATATAAATAAGTGACAAATGATAGCAGGCAAAACTTATATAGCACTTATTGTATGCCAGACACTGTATTAAGATCTGCAAATATTAGCTCATTTAATCCTCACAACAACGCAATAAGGTAAGACTATCATTAGCCTTCACTTACAGATGTGGAACTAGATATCAATCATTTGAAGAACTAAATAACATCCCCAAGACCACACAAGCTCATCTGTGCCAGAGCTGGCTCTTTACAAGTGCCAGTGCTGCTGCCCTACAGAATGGTCCTTCATTCCCAGGGCAGAACAGTTTCTTATCCTATGTTATTCCTTAATAAACTTTCACAGTCAATCTCCAGTAGTCTTTTCATAATGGAATAAGGAAAACAGTATTAAGTTAAAGCAATTAGTCCAATATTTAGCCAGATCCTACTGTCAAAACCATTAGCCACACTCGCAAGGCTACAAAGAACTGAAAAGTAGCAGTCTGATATATTTACTTATCTTTCAAATCTGACAAAACTATTCTGAAAACAAAAATAACAGTTTGGCACATTTCTAGTTCTCAGCACAGCAAATTACACAACACAAACAAGTCCAAGAATGGGGATAATATTGTGAATTGTGCATAATGATTTGCATCTGTATCCCCTGTTCACGATAATACTCAGTGTGCCTTTGCGCTCCTATCAGCTCACTATTCTAAAAACACAGCTGCATTTCCAATGATTGATGCTGTGCTAAAGCCAGGAAACATCTTAGCAACAGCAAGTATCCTAGTTCCCCAGGCAAAGAAGGCCCCTGGTTCTCTAATATCCACATAATGTTTATTTTTAGTTGCTATGTCCACATTTGATTCAAAGAAGTAGGCAATATGACAGATCCCTGCGTGATTGATCAGCCAAGGGCCCAAGAGACTTAAATAGGATAACCAATATGGAAAATTAAACCGAGACTCTCCTAAAGAGAGGATGGCTGCCTTTTTTTTTTTTTTTTTTTTTTTTTTTTTTTTTTTTTACTGTTTTAATGTTTCCCAACTTCAGCAGCTCTCTAGCACTCTAAACAGGAATGGACTTCATAAGAGAAAAGTAAATCAAATATAAGCTAATCCTATGGTGTCTTCTCAGAAAGGTATTTGTTTCTACTCTGTAAAAAAGGATCTGAAAAGATGGAACAAGATCACATAAATAATTTGTACTCTGATCTGCCCAAGAGAGGATGATTCTACTTCTGAGTACATGAGGGTGGGGGGAGAAGTAAATGGTACAGCGTTTGCAAGCTCCCCACCCAGTATTTTACTGGTGTTCAACAAATAACCCTGGCTGCTTAACTCAGCTCTGACTAAGGTGAGGCAAGAGATGCCTAGGGCCAATATTTAAGGGGACACTCAGTATCAGGGCCATGTACTAGTAAATGCAACATTTGTACTAGTCAACATTTGCAGGGCCCTGAGAGTGAGTGCACCTTTAAATTATGCACCCTTGGTGCCTCTTGCCTCACCCCAGTTTAGACCCAGGTATAACCAAATACTCATAGCTAAAGCAAAGCTCTTGAAAATGCTCCACTTAGCTTTCAATTAGAAGCACTCTCAACACTGGTTGCACATAAGAATCATCCGAGGAGCTCTTTAAAAGCCCAATGTTTAGCCCAGCAGGTGTGGCTCAGTGGTTGAGTGTCAACCTATGAACCAGGAAGTCATAGTTTCAATTCCAGGTCAGGGCATCTGTCCAAGTTGTGGGCTCGATCCCCAGTTGGGGGCACGCAAGAGGCAGTTGAGCTATTTATCTCTTGTTGATATTTCTATTTCTCTTTCACTCTCCCTTCCTCTCTGAAATCAATAAAAACATTATCTTTTTTTTTTTTTAAATCTCAATGTTCAGGCCATATCCCAGGCTAAACAGATTAGAATATCTAGGGGTGACCTCTATTTTTTATTTTGCATTTAAAGCTCTGTAGGTCAGAGGTAAAAGGCATCAGGATTTATAAAACACAACTGAGAAAGCCTTGTATTTGTTTTTTGTTTTTAATATATTTTATTGATTTTTTAAAGAGAGGAAGAGAGGATAGACGGTTAGAAACATCGATGAAAGAGAATCATCAATCAGCCACTGCCTCCTGCACACCCCCCACTGGGGATGTGCCCGCAACCAAGGTACATGTCCTTGACTGGAATCGAACCTGGGACCCTTCAGTCCGCAGACCGACAATCTATTCACTGAGCCAAACCAGATTCGGTGAAAGCCTTGTATTTGTGAAAAGTGTTAATCCTATACACAAGTGATAACAGGCAATCCTCCCACCTATTCCCCACCCCCTCAGAAACTGAACTATAGATTTGGGCACAAAGCAGGTAAAAGATTTCAGTCTTGCTTAAAATAAGCAACAAAGGTGTCTGAACTTCATTCTTGTATACAACAAAACAATTCTAACTTCTCCAGAAGATAAAGTTGGAAGATGCTACAATAAAGCTTCATGCCCATTTACAATAGAATGGAAACTATCAGTGCCCACCACAAATCCGCTGTGATGTAAGTTTAACTACAGCTAGGGACTAACAGCAGTGACTGCTATGTCTTGCAATAAACACTAAACGAGCCACTGAAATTATGCTCCATTAAGAAACTTGCTTCAAGGAACCAAATTATGTAATACCAAGGGATACCTTTTGGGTCAGATTTGTTCCCCCATTTGGATAATATTCCATGATTACAGTCAGCACTTACTAAACAGAAAGAAGAATCAAGAAGAAGCTACTTTGCATAACAATGAAGAGCATTGAGCTCCTGGCTCCCAACTCTACTAGCCTTGCATCCTTAGGCAAGTTACCCAACTGCCCTAAACTTCAATTTCCACATCTGTAAGATAAGGATAATAACAGTCACATAATAAAGACTGCCATTGTTCGGCCACTTCTCTCTTTGCAGGCACATGAGAAAATTACAACCCCTCCAATCTGCTTTGCAGTTCAACAAATCATGTGACAAGTTCTGGCCAATGCACTGTGAGTAGCAGTAACATGAGTCACATCCAGGCATTTAGCTGCTAGGGTGGGAAACTATTTCTCTGTTCTGGCAATTATGGGAACAGGTGCTGTGCTGGAGGTGCCATGGGAACAAGCAACCAGAATAACAGAGCCACCACATGGAGGGCAGCTGCCCTAGAGTTCACCCCCACCCACTGCAAAGCAGGAAGCGAACCTTTGTTTTGTTATGACACCGAGATTTCAGTGGTGTCTGTTATCACAGCTTATCCTAGGCAGCACAAACTGATATCAATACTGAATGTAGGACTTGTGAAGACTAAATGAGACAGTGCCTCATTTACACTAAGCTTTTGATTGAGCAGAATGATCACAGTCCTCTGATGGTTAGGGTAAAAGGGCTGTGTTTCCCCAAGCTATGAGAATCTTCTCAGCTATTTGGAGTCATCCTACAAGGTTACCATGGACTAACCATAAGTTCTGAACCCACTTCACAGTCTACCAGGGACTTCACAGGACAGGTGTAAACAGCTGAGTGGTTTTCATCTCAATATGAGGAAAAGGAAAAAGTTCCTGCATGCTGTGTGGACATATGAAAGTCATTCATAGCAAAGAGAATTACAGGGGACCTCAGCACATCCCTTGATGTGCTGAATATTCACCTTCTTCATACAGATTTGTAAATCCAATACTGAGGCAGTATAAATGATGACAAGAGTCTGGAGCTTTGCTTTTGGTTCAAGTTGTGGAAAGTGCTGAAGTATGCACTGTGTTGGGAGCCGGGGTGGCAAGGTAAGAAAATGATCGATGAAAACTTTGAGAAGATAATTTCATTCTGCCAAAATTGGTACCCCAAAAGTACTTACCAATCATCAGAATGGTGCTTCAAGACTTGAGGAATTAAAGGATGATCAGAGCTGATATGACTGACAAGGACAAGAGAGAGAGAATGGGGTAGTTCCACCCAGACTCTTCCACTTACACTTTGTCCCCTTGTCCTGAACAAAGCCTTAAATGACAGTATAAACTGCTCAAGTGGAAAATTAAACTGAACGCTATTCTTTTGCCATGGCTCTGAAATTCCTGTCCCAATCTCTTCCTGCTAAAGAACAAGATCTATTTTAATGGCAAGTCAGTTAAAAGGAACTAATCTCAGGTTGCTCTCTGAATGTTTCTCACTTTAAAAAAAAAAAAAGAAAAAGAAACTAAGATACTTGCTACGTTTTCTTATTTCAGTTTACAGGGGAGTTGGATAAAGCAAGAAGAAATTCCACAAATGCTTATAGAATAGGCTTTAAAAAATGGTTCTCAGAAATAAGAAACGGGTCATGGGTAATAAAATGTATAATTTTAAATGTGGAGCTACTTACCACATTTAATACTCTCTATCCGCACAGGAAGGCCAGACTGTGCTGCAGCAATTAATTTCAAGGCAATGTAAAACTGAGTTGGACCAAAATAACCAATGCGCTTGGCACCACACAGTTCCGTGATCTGAAAACAGACAAGAAGAGTGATACTGAAAAAAAAACATTTCATAACAGAAAATGAGACAAGCTATATTATGAAATCGCAAAGATTTCACAGTGCAGCTAACCGCAAGTCCCTGGAGAACCTATGTGTACACACGGGTTTCTTTTTCTTACCGTTTACAGGGAGTTATTCAATTCAGATAATTAAATTCTACCTACTCATGATGTTTCAGGACTGATTATTCCTCCTCTTTCAACAATAAAATTAAAGATAACAAAGGATGGCTGTTACGCTTCTTACAAAAGAGAGTGACTTTTTCAGAAGGTGGATTCTGATGTATGAAATCTAGAAAGTCGGTGGAAGCGAAAACAGAACAGATTAGTCATTTCCATTACCTGTGGATGATCCTAGTTGATCGAAATTAAAAGTGATTATTTTTTAAGTTCTCAGGCAAATGATTTCCTAAGCATTAAAATTACATCTTGAGTGCTCATTTCAGAGGAATAAAACAGAAGTATTTTCAAGATATTGCACCCTAGTTGGTTTGATGCTCAGTGAATAGAGCGTCAGCCTGTGGACTAAAGGGTCCTGGGTTTGATCTGGTCAAGGGCACATGCCTGGGTTGCGAGCTTGATCCCAGTAGGGGGCATGCAGGAGTCAACTGATCAATGATTCTCTCTCATCATTGATGTTTCTCTCTCTCTCCCTCTTACCTCCTCTCTGAAATCAATAAAAAAATATATATTATTGTAATATTTCATTTGTAGACCTCAAATTAACACATATCCTATTGTTGGTTTAAAATAATTTAAATTCAATTACTTTTAGATACTTAAAAGTTCAAATAATTGTAAGTGGATGTGAAGAATTAAAAAGCATCCCCCACTTTTTATGCCCCAGAGGAAAACAGTATATGTTCTTCTAGAAATGTCATATATATATTAAAGGCCCAATGCACAAAATTCATGCAAGGGCCTTGGCCCCAGCCCCTGCCCACTGCTGCCACCATGGCCAGGGGCCTATGCCACCTCTGCCACAGCCCCTGCCACTGCCATGGCCAGGGGCCACAGTCCCCGCTGGCTGCAGTTTTGTCCAAAAGGAAGGACATCCAATCAAATTAGCATAATACCCTTTTATTATCATAGATATATACTAGTATGATGCACACCTGTGTTTTTCCTGTTGGTTATTCAATACTTCATACAAATAAAATACCACATAATATTTTGCACCATTTTTTCATTTAGCAATACTGTTTTCATGCCTCAAGACATCTCAGCCTGGATCCCAACCACTCTCAGGACAAAATTCCATCTCCTTAGTATGGCATTAGGACCATTCACAACCTGTTCCTGAGCAGTTTTTCCTAGTTTCATCTCAGGACACACACACATATGCACACAGTTCTATAGCTGCATTCAGCTTCTCCACTGTCCAAACACATCTTGCCCTTTCACATCTCTGTATCTAGTGCACATGCTATAGGAGGCAGGAAACTAAATAACCTTAAAGCCCTGGTCTGTGTGGTTCAGTTGGTTAGAGTGTTGACCCATACATCAAAAGGTGGTGGGTTCAATTCCCAGTCAGGATGAGTATGGGAATTAACTGATCAATGTCTCTCTCTCTCTCTCTCTCTCTCTCTCTCTCTCTCTCTCTCTCTTCCTCTCTCTCTTCTTCTCTCTCTCTTCCTCTCTCTTTCTTCTTCTCTCTCAAATCAATAAAAAATATCCTGCCGAAACCGGTTTGGCTCAGTGGATAGAGTGTTGGCCTGCAGACTGAAAGGTCCCGGGTTCAATTCCGGTCAAGGGCATGTACCTTGGTTGCGGGCACATCCCCAGTAGGAGGTGTGCAAGAGGCAGCTGATCGATGATTCTCTCTCATCGATGTTTCTAACTCTCTATCCCTCTCTCCTCCTCTCTGTGAAAAATCAATAAAATATATTTTAAATAAATAAATAAATAAATATCCTCAGGTGAGTATTAAAAAATAAATAGCCTTAAAGTCAAGGTTGGTTTTCAATGAAGAAACTAATTAGTTTTATGACTTTGAACAAGTTAATTTAATCTGCCTGAAATCTAATTAGAAATATTCTCTCCCTCATAAGACTATTGGAAGGATAAATAAATAAATAAATAAATAAATAAATAAATAAATAAATAAAATGCTAAATGAACCTAATACAATACTTAGAAATTTGTCTATACTAATAAAAGTCTAGGTGATCCTTGCACCCTCATACAATGCCCTCACATCATCACAAGATGGTCACCACAAGATGGCTAGCAGTGGAGGGCAGTTGTGGGCAATCAGGCCAATAGAAACAGCAGTTGGGGGTGAACAGGCCAGCAGGGGAGGGCAGTTGGAGGTGATCCAGTTGGCAAGGGAATAGTTAGGTGTCAATCAGGCTGGCAGGAGAGCAGTTAGGGGACAACCAGGCTAGCAGGCAGAAGCAGTTAGGGGCGATCAGGAAGAAAGGCAGGAGAGCTGTTAGAAGCCAGCAGTCCCGGATTGTGTGAGGGATGTCCGACTGCAGGGTCGGGCCTAAACCAGCAGTCGGACATCCCCCAAGGGGTCCCAGATTGGAGAGGGTGCAGGCCAGGCTAAGGGACACCCCCCTTCCATGCATGAATTTCATGCACCAAGCCTCTAGTCTATATATATAAAAGTCTAAGCTACTGAACGAGTTGCTATGATGTGCACTGACCACCAGGGGCAGATGCTCAACACAGGAGCTGCCCCAAGGTGGTCAGTTCACTCATACAGCCAATCTCCCATGGCCCAAATCAGCCCCAATTACCAGCCAGGCCAAGCGACCCCATCCATGCACGAATCCATGCACAGAGCCTCTAGTATTCAATAATTGTTAGGTTCCATCCCATTCACCTGGAACTTAAACCTCTTCACTCCCTACTAGATTTAACTCCTATGCTTCTTCCCAAGACCCCAGGTATGGTTTATTTTCCAAGCATATTCTCTGACTATTCAAATGTCCAAAAACATCACCTACATGATATACTGTCTTAGACTTGCTTCCAAATAAAAAGAGAGAAGGAAGTAAGTGGGGAGTATAGATGGACAAGTCTGACCAAGAGTTGAAAACTATTGAAATTAAATTATAGATTCATGAGAGTTCATTCTCCTCCTCTGTACTTTTGTACACATTTTAAATTCTCTATATTCAAGTTTTTAATGTCTACTTAAACACATCACATTATATTATATGCTTATCTCTGCCTCTCATTAAAATGTTTTCTGTCTAAGGACAAGGGGTAAGTTCCATTCATCTCCAGGCACAAGGATAGACAATCAGAATATAGTCCAAAAATTCTCAATCAAGTGAATGAACCAACCCTCAAAAATAAAAGTAATTGTTGCTCTGGCGGGTTTGGCTTGGTGGTTAGTGCATCAGCCTCTGGACAGAAGGGTCACAGGTTAGATTCCTGGTCAGGGAACATGCCCAGATTACTGTCTCAATGGGGGTGTACAAAAGGCAGCCAATCGACGTTTCACCCTCACATAGATGTTTCTCTCTCTTCTACCTTTCTCTCTCTAAAAATCAATTTAAAAATCTTTTTTAAAAAGTAACTGAGTTTCACAATACAATCCCTTTATTGTAAATAAATTACATTTTCAGGTACAGGCTTGCTTGTACCTAGAGAAAAACACCAGTGTCATTAGTGTAATTCCAACATCAATATAGTTATCTTGCAGAATAGTTTCTAATATTAAGAAATTAGAATCCTTGGTATGTAAACAACTTAACAACTTTAATTTAGTATTGTTAACTCTTGGTTATTTCTTTACCATAACTACCACATAGAACTTAAAAGCTCTTAAAGATAACTGAAATTGCTGTTAAAGCACTCACTATGGAATTTTGAAAGTAGCACCTGAATCTGACATTAGTAAATCACCTTTTTTTTGCCCTGGAATCTGTCCTTAGATCCTATATACCACTAGAATCACTTTTTTGTAGCCAACACAGAATAAGAGGAACTGTGATATAAAAGAACATAAGTGAAGTGAGCCCATACGTCATTTAGTACACATCCAGGAGACATTCAAGAACATTCAGGAATATTTGAGCCACAGGAAGATAAACTAATTATAAGCCTTTAGAACTTACATGTGGAACCTCATAAATTGAATACTTCTCAATCCTAAAAGCAGGTTAATTTTGTAGGGTTATTTTCTTTGTTTGTTTATCGAGGTTTAAAATGTTCTAAGTCTAAATTCTTCATGGAAAGGTTCTAATTTGTGAGCAGAAATACTTTGATGCAATCTAAGGAAAATAATGTGGTGCTTTGTCCCAAATACTTGGTTAGCAGGAGATATTTTATATAACTGCTCCTTCAAACAGTTCAAGTTGTTAAGCTTTTCTCAAAATAAAGAAAACAATGAAAAGATTCTATGCCTCTTCTTTAGTCTAAACTCCAAACCTGTAACACTCAGCTGGATCCATCTTAGATTACACATTGTGCAAATTTCTAATACAGAACAAGAACCTATGGACTGATGTTTGTTTTCTCAGGTGGAAGGCAAGAGATGAAGAAAAAAGAAATGGATGAAATCAACTTCCTTAGAGCTTACAGATGTACAACTAAACTGTCAGGGTGCTGGATATGAATCAGAAAAATTCACCGACCATTGGAAAAGAACCTTGGACAAAGTTTTGGAAGAAGATTGAAGTCCACTAAAATAGCTTCCCTCCTACCTAATTCTGAAAGATTAAGTGACTGTGCTGAGTAATCAGCCCACACCCATTTCAGTTTGCCTGAAATAATACTTTCTTTCCTAGCTGGAATGTAGTAAATTTTCAGAACTGTTCAAAGGTTTGAATAAGCTTCTCTCTTTCAAATATGTTTTAAAGACTTCCTTACAAAGATTTAAAATTTTAAAATGTCTTGGTGGGAGGGGGAGAACAAATTTGCCAGTGGACCCTCTTTTTTATTCTCTCCCCACTGCTTCAAGTCCTGAATCTAGACTGTGAAACTTCACACACTATTATTCTCCTATTCCCT